TACATCGCAGAGTTGATGTACGCTCTAGGACTTGAACCAAATACCATTCTCTTTTTCCATGATTGAATGTTGTTTATAGATTATTTAGGCAAATTATTCTATTCTTGAATGATTGACATTTTTCTTAGAATATTTGTAGGGAAAAAAATCGAATAAATTTCCTTTATTCACCTCATTATTACTATGCAATTTGTAAGTACGAAAATATACTAACCACATAGAACATGTGGAAAACTAATAATCTTGGTTAAATTAAGAAATCGTGCATAAATATGTATATAGTTCTATGTAAGGTAACAAGTAGTAGTATTATTATAACGAATTTAGCTAAGTCAATAATCTAAACTGTCTTATTTATTCAGTTATACAAAGAGCTAATCTCTGAAAATTGGTAGTCACCTCTTTTTGTAATATGGATCTTCGACAATATTAAAATCAAGATATTTAATAATAGTCAATAAAGAATTGTGAAGATTGTTGAATTTGTTAGAAATCATGAGATGATCTATGTTAGATCAACAGTGAAAAGCTAGAAGCACTGAATAAATGTTTTGTCTTAGTATAGGACCCGGTTAATAGTGAGTATAGACGACTTCGCACCTGAGAATCGAACGTCAAACTGTCGGTCTCGTGAGTGAATGCCTAATCTGTAAATCATTGAATTGATAAAAGATGATGCTAATATTTCACTGTAATCAATCGAAGACAGTGAGCTACTGATTTCGATTGTATTCGTTGGGTAATAGTCAGTCGAGCTAAGTTGTCTTGTGTGTGAACCAGTTGTCGATCGAAGACAATGGAAGATTGTTGTACAATATTGTGGATTGATTGGTTATAGTTGAACACCGTCGGACACCGGTTGTATGGTGTAAATGTTGGATTACTGGTTGCGTGATCTTGTGTGCTTACTGACGAGGAGTACCATACTAAGTTGAAACTGGCGTCAAGTGCTCTCAGGCTTTCAATGGTTATCTAACCTAGAACGGGTCACGATTTCAGTGACACTGAATGATAATTCGCAATAGTACTAACTCGATTAAATATTTACTCTATGAATTAACGATGAGTGCTCGTGAAGTACATCATGATCATTCTCAGTCAATGGATTTAACTAAAAGATAATTAATACTTAACTGACAAGTGTTGACGATATCCAAAAAAGCATGTATACTTTTACCTAGTGGTTGCTTCCTAACACACTGCTCTAGTTAATGATAAATTTGTCTAATCTGAAGATAATTCACATCCACCTCTAGCCTCAGCTAGACTTCCATTGAATATCAGATAATACTAGACGGGTGTTTCATTATAGCTTAGGACCACTGAACATAGCGTATTCACAATCCTTCCAGACGCAGAACCTGGTGAGTGAATTAGTTTAAACCCATCAATGTGTCATTCAGTGGGTTATATTGCATACGATTCTCGACATATCAAGACTTGAATGCAATCAGTTTAACTTTTTTGGATATTTGGAAGTTTATCACATCGTCAGAAAATACTATAAACAAAGATTTCAATAGTTCCTCCATTTCTTATGTCGATAAAGTTCTGATAATTAGATTATTTAATTTTATAATTAATAAAGATCTAATTTATCCCGTTGTTGATAGTTAGCACTGAATATCTGTAAGTCTTTGTTGTAATATGCGCAACCTGATCTAAACATCATTTCTATCTGAACACGTTTCTGGCTTTCTGAACTTAGTAACATAGTGAGTAAAGTGCTGACTGGCGAAAGGTTATCAGCTCGAGTCCTGATGTAAACATCAATATCCGGATACAAATACATCCAACCAACCAGCCCCAAATAAAACGAAACGCTCATCTTGCATTCCACTGTTAACCACATTATATCTACTTTATAAAATATTATGTTGCTTTTTGTGAGAACCACTGGATGACAAACTGTATGGGACGGAAACCTGGAGAACTACGAAAGCCATCATCCAGAAGATACAAATATTTATTAACAGCTGTCTACGCTAAATACTGAGGACCCGTTGGCCGGACACCTACTGTTGGAGAGAACAAACCGGATCCCATTGGAGGAAGAAATCAGGAAGAAGAGCTGGAGGTGGATAGAACACACATTGAGGAAAGCACCCAACTGCGTCACAAGTCAAGCCCTCATATGAAATCCTCAATGCCAAAGGAGGAGAGGGAGACGGAAGGACACGTTACGCCGAGAAGTGGAGACAAACATGAGAAGAATGAACAAGAATTGGATGGAACTAGAAAAGAATGCCCAGGACATAGTATGTTGGAGAATGCTGGTTGTCGGCTTATGCTCCATTGGGAGTAACGGGCGTAACTATGTAAGTAATTACTGGATGACAAAATGATTACTGACTAGTTGTTGCCTATGACCTGCTATTTTCATACAGTTAATGATTGAATTGCACACAATGCAAATAGAAAAATAACATTTCAGTCTAAGCTTATTTTATAAAACAATTAAATGTACAGTTTAATGAATTAGATACTTCCGGTTACAAAATAAAATTTAATAGATGACAAACATCCAATAATGTAACTTGGAGACGACTGGAAATTGTCAAACATTTTATTTTGTTAAAAATCCAGATTAAAATTTTTGCAAAATGAATTCATAACTGATTGATCACTGGGTGGTGATCAATCTCATGTGTATCAAGTCCTTCTTAGTGTAGATCGAATCCTATCAACCAAGTTGATATATGGCCACTAGTCAAGATGATTCAACATTACGTTCACTATGTTGAGATAAGATGGTGGTTGAAGGTAATCGATAAGTAACCCATTCTGACGTTTACTCAAAAGATGAATAGAACTAAGAGATTTGTGTATAGTAGGAAATATTTGTAATCACAGAACTATCCAAGCATAAAAAGACAAATATTAAAATTTGGTAGTGTTCACCTTTTTTTTCAAATGGATAATTACAATCCGTAATGTTTGTATGTTACAATGATTATACCACACACGGATTGGAATTCCGAAAACAATACTTTCCAATGGGATTATAAAGTTCCCTTTAACTTGAATATTGATCCATGTGTAACTACTTGTAAACAAATTTCATAGTTCTAGGAAATAATCTTAACTACCATACTGAATTCATCAAATGTTATAAAATATTGCCTAGGTATTTATATACTATATGATCATTGATTTATGCGAATTAATTCGATTTAAAGGTAGTTTACATCATTGTCTAGCTTTAACTAATGAATAGTTATAAATCAGACCGAATTAAACAGAAATTTCTTCCTTGTTTTAGACTTTTCAACAGTTCACAGCATTTGGATTCAGTGACTACTTTATATTCATGGTCAATCTGGGCAGGCGTTTGAGATGTATTTAGCAAGCGATCTGTCTGTATAACTAATAAAACCCATTACAAGAGAAGAATTATACTAACAGAAATAGAATAATTTGACTTAAAACAGAAGTTCATATTTAATACAACCATGAATAAGCCATCTATTGATAAACAAATAAAATTCAAAATAATGAATTTATTATTCTTACAGATTCCGAAAGTCTATTTCGATAAATCATTGTTAAAGTATCCCCTCTGATATTCAATGTCTTTAAAAGTGTTTTCTTTAACACTAGAAAAAGATCTTTTAGTTCACAATTTTGAAATGATAGAAGTTTTTCTAGAAGTAGGAGGAATAATCGGAATTGAAGAGGGAGGTACCTGAAAAGGAAGTTGGATTAGTGATGGTCTTAGTGACCTGAGAGAGTGACCGCAGTGCCCAAGGGACAACTGCTTGAGGTCGATCACAAACGACCTTTTTATGAGTAATTTTTGTGTTAGCTCCGTACTTGTTGAGACCTTACCGCCGGAGACGGATATCCATGGGATAAGGCGAGGTGTGCATTTTTAGGGTCGACCTTTTCTAACCCCACCCCTCCTTGTGGTGAGGCAGCATCGCTGTCATGCTGGTTGTCTGAAGGAAACACCTTACTGCTGTCACACCTCTGTACAGTCAGCAGTACGACTTCGTCTTCGAACCTTGGGTTTGTTGCTTTTAGTCTTACCGCTCTTCAACTGACCTGTCTGACATGGTAGGACCTTGAGGAACGGTTTTTCCAGCCAGTATTGCTCGGTTGCTTCATCATGATAGGCAAGCCCGACCACCACGTCAAGGTAGCAACAACGGTAGGGTGGCATCAGTGCTTGAAGTCACTAACTTCTGGTCTGAGCCATGTTGGTAGATGCAGACTACTTTGTTGGGGTCCGTGCGACTATCGTAACGAATATTTGGAGACTGTGGGTGACATGGCTCAGAATCGATCACAATAACGTCGGTGTATAAACTCTCTATCTTCCCTTAAACTAAGAGATTAAAATCGCTCTATATCTTCCTTTCTACGAACTAAGTCTTTCTTCCTATACTATATCCTTATATGCAATCTTTCTTTTATATATTACCACCACTGAATTAACTACTTTTATGAATCCGGTGTTCATCTTGTTGTGTTAATGAGGTATGGCAACTTGAAACGATGCATATATGTGCCTGGTCGTAAGTTGTAGCTGACTGACTGACTTTCTAGAAGTATCTTTTAAAATAGTATTCAATTCATGATCATTTGTCTAAAATCCGTTTCATTTTTATTTTTCAAATATATTTAATTATACAAAATCAATATACCGGTCATAGATAAATACTATCCCTATTTGATCTCTTTTTCACTTACATTCACCTGTTATTCATAAATCATAAGTGGTGACATTTACAAAAAAGAGAAAAAAAAGCACATACACACTATAATTATCATATTTATCAGCTGACCTAATTGTAAAGAAAGAAGATACTTTAAACAAACATTTCAACATTTTCATAAATAAGATATACAATTGAATTATGATTTATATAAGGATTATATAATGAAATGAATTCTATATTGAACTAATCAAATGTTAACCCATGTCTACAACCTCAATTGAATATATGTAAAAGAACAAAATTACATTATGAAGTACTATTCAAATTTTCTGCGCCAAATTAGAATTGTTCAAAGTGTGATATATTTTTCATAGAACATTGTACACTTGAATAGTTCTGTGTGTTTGTATGTGTGTGCGTGTGCATGTGTATGGAAAAGGTGAAAAATGTAAACATATAATCAGCATAAAACGATTTAATAGTACATATATGTTGATAGTGATGATGATGATGATGATGATGATGATGATGATGATGATGATGATGATGATGATGATGATGATGATGATGATGATGATGATGATGATGATGATGATGATGATGATGATGATGATGATGATGATGATGATGATGATGATGATGATGATGATGATGATGATGATGATGATGATGATGATGATGATGATGATGATGATGATGATGATGATGATGATGATGATGATGATGATGATGATGATGATGATGATGATGATGATGATGATGATGATGATGATGATGATGATGATGATGATGATGATGATGATGATGATGATGATGATGATGATGATGATGATGATGATGATGATGATGATGATGATGATGATGATGATGATGATGATGATGATGATGATGATGATGATGATGATGATGATGATGATGATGATGATGATGATGATGATGATGATGATGATGATGATGATGATGATGATGATGATGATGATGATGATGATGATGATGATGATGATGATGATGATGATGATGATGATGATGATGATGATGATGATGATGATGATGATGATGATGATGATGATGATGATGATGATGATGATGATGATGATGATGATGATGATGATGATGATGATGATGATGATGATGATGATGATGATGATGATGATGATGATGATGATGATGATGATGATGATGATGATGATGATGATGATGATGATGATGATGATGATGATGATGATGATGATGATGATGATGATGATGATGATGATGATGATGATGATGATGATGATGATGATGATGATGATGATGATGATGATGATGATGATGATGATGATGATGATGATGATGATGATGATGATGATGATGATGATGATGATGATGATGATGATGATGATGATGATGATGATGATGATGATGATGATGATGATGATGATGATGATGATGATGATGATGATGATGATGATGATGATGATGATGATGATGATGATGATGATGATGATGATGATGATGATGATGATGATGATGATGATGATGATGATGATGATGATGATGATGATGATGATGATGATGATGATGATGATGATGATGATGATGATGATGATGATGATGATGATGATGATGATGATGATGATGATGATGATGATGATGATGATGATGATGATGATGATGATGATGATGATGATGATGATGATGATGATGATGATGATGATGATGATGATGATGATGATGATGATGATGATGATGATGATGATGATGATGATGATGATGATGATGATGATGATGATGATGATGATGATGATGATGATGATGATGATGATGATGATGATGATGATGATGATGATGATGATGATGATGATGATGATGATGATGATGATGATGATGATGATGATGATGATGATGATGATGATGATGATGATGATGATGATGATGATGATGATGATGATGATGATGATGATGATGATGATGAGATGATGATGATGATGATGATGATGATGATGATGATGATGATGATGATGATGATGATGATGATGATGATGATGATGATGATGATGATGATGATGATGATGATGATGATGATGATGATGATGATGATGATGATGATGATGATGATGATGATGATGATGATGATGATGATGATGATGATGATGATGATGATGATGATGATGATGATGATGATGATGATGATGATGATGATGATGATGATGATGATGATGATGATGATGATGATGATGATGATGATGATGATGATGATGATGATGATGATGATGATGATGATGATGATGATGATGATGATGATGATGATGATGATGATGATGATGATGATGATGATGATGATGATGATGATGATGATGATGATGATGATGATGATGATGATGATGATGATGATGATGATGATGATGATGATGATGATGATGATGATGATGATGATGATGATGATGATGATGATGATGATGATGATGATGATGATGATGATGATGATGATGATGATGATGATGATGATGATGATGATGATAATGATGAATGATACGCCACAATATTGAGTAACATGGGTAAAAATCATATTGTTTTGATTTTATTTTGAAATATTAACTCAATTATAGATTATATATCCCTATATGTAAGTAAAAAGTATTTTTGTTTAAAATATAAAATAAATATTGCGTACCTGAATAGAAATAATTCATTTGGAGAAAATTGACAAGAGTGATTTTAGATCCTAACCAGGTAGTCTATATCTACCAACGTGTTTTTGTATTCTCACTACAAAAAACTTTTTATCTATCTTTGGTAAGACTATAAACGAAACTGTGTAGCTCAGTTTGATGGATTTGAATTAGGATGCTGATTATATTGTCTAGTATAACATCGATTTATCTGGGATCTTATATATAATTATTTATTTATTTGAACACATAAATATTGGTACAAGAGGGCACCAAATATATATGCGCCACACCATATTTGTGAATGTGGACTGTGATACTGCCCTGGTGCCCAGACCGAAGCAGGTGGTTTTCTTAGAGGGCCACACCCCGAGCCTTTGACCTAACGGTCTAATCCACAAGGAAGTGGTGCATCATGAGGAGATGCAGTACCATCGTAGCCGGTGACCAAAAATTGGTTCATACGCCATTTGTTCCCGCAGGATACTGGAGCCCATGTGCGCCATTGGTTTGGGATCCGGTTTAAGCGCCGGACATTCGCTTTTCGTCCTCTCATTTTTGTAAACAACACCCCCGCCACGAGAAGGCAATGAGTAGGACTTCCCTGTCAGAGGCTATATACGCGTGGCCGTGTGAGAGCATTTCGAGAGGGAGGGCGGGCCCATCCCTCTCTCGGCCATACCAGGGCGTTTGGGGGATAAAAAAATTGATTCACCACGATTTAGGTATTGGATAAATATCAATAATTTTTAATAAGCGTAGATTGAGGTTACCAGTGGAATTCAGGAAGCACACAAAAGATTCGTTACCTAAATGTTCCTAGAGTGTAATGGGGAAACTCAAATATATAGACAAACATTAACAATATATTACCTGTCGTAAATATCTGTTAGCCTAACTTGTCATACTACATTAGCACGATGAGGTAAATGTAATAAAATAACTTACAAAAGCAATCAAAATCATATAGTAACCAGTAATAATATGAAAGACTAAACATTGCGAATACAATTCGTAAAGATGATTTGAAAAGATACATATGTGAAGGAATAATAAAATTTAATATCCAGTAAACGATAAAGAGTGAATGCATCTGCACCATTTTGATCGATTCTGATTAATTTCATCATCTACCTCTAACCAGTGATCATGATAAGTATTACATAGATCCTAACCAGGTATTCTATATCTACCAACGTGTTTTTGTATTCTCACCACAAAAAACTTTTTATCTATCTTTGGTAAGACTATAATTTATGGACGATATCTGAATGATGATAAAGTGACTTTGAGAAAATTCATATGCTTACTAGAGATAATAAGAGTTATAGATAAGTGTGAGGAATTAGGATTAGGATCTAGAGTAAGAATTTAAGGTTAAAAATTAAATTAAGAATTTTCATCAGCATTAATGACAAAATGCTATTTAACTATATGGATGAATGAATTTCGTGCCCAAATCCAAGACTTACTATCTTTGATTTCATTGATTTATCTATAAATTATAGTCAAGTCTTTTACTTGCAACAACGCCAGGACCTTTATATCACATCGAGAGCACTTAACCAATTAAACTAATGGTACATATTTCCGACTTCAACTAAATCATCAATGAAACAATTAGTAGTGAATGCATTAGATGATTGTAACACGCACTCAGAAAAAAAGATGGAGTTCAACGTCTGGTTCCCTGGTTGAATACTCTATTGAATCCTCTATGTGGATCAATCGATGATCGAATGTCCACTACACCTTAGTCATGAAGTACTGTGACTGTTAATTATGTGAACAACATAATTTCATAACACTAACGGTTCATATTACCCAGTGAAAAGATGCATTCATTTCAGTATTTTTCTCCCTAAATCACCCCTAAGCCATCAATCTCAATAAACAGTTCATTGAAAACTTAAAAACTTATGTGAATTAATTGGTTGTTTAATGTATGGATATGTGTGCTCGCCGATTAAATTATAGAAAATAACTCATGGATGATTTTTTGCATAATAAATATATTTTCGATGCATCGAATTCCGATGTAACCGCTTCTCGGTACTTTTAATGAGAGGCAACAAAATCAGTACACCTATCAGTATGACAGCTCTACTCAAATTTGAAATTACGAAGCTTCATAACCACTTGGCAACACTAGTGATAAACAAGAAGGATCTGATCGAGGTATGAATGCACGTGTTGATAACGCAACTGCAACACCCTTAGATTAAAGAATATCTGAAACTCAAAAAGTACTGCCACTTCGCACCGAAGTCAACATTTCCAATAAAAACGTTAAAACAGTTCTATTCTATGGAGTGGAAACATAAAGAACTGATGTGTACAGAGAAACAAGAAGCCTTGACAAACTACGGAAGTTATTTTTCGGGACGTTATTTGAGTTAATTCAAAGCTTGTAAAACATTAACATTTATTTTTGTTCCTAGTCTATTCTATAGATCATAAGCTTCCGTCTGATGTATGATTCACTGCCATAGCCTTTTTTGTTCCAAAGCTATTTTAATTTAGACATTATTTTGTACTCTATTTTCTACGCTAAACCCCAGTTTTGGACATAATTGTATTTTCCTAATTATTGTACTTTGTGGTCGGGTTAGTCATCTATTTATTCATGTATCTTTTTACATTGATCTGAAATCGGGAAATCGCGAACCAGATCGGAATTGAGGATAAATCGAGTAGTCTTCCAGTTAACTTGACTTCTCTCGATCGCGTGCTTGTCAGCCAGTCAAGTGGCACAATAGTTTTCTTCTCTCTATCCCACTTCGAACTGACGTGTACTAGCCTCAAGGTTAAGCCGATCAGCCTATCGCCTCAAGGTCTTAATCTAGATTAGACAAGTTATCCTCAGCACCAAAAGTGGGTAAACAGATTAAGGACGTAACACTCGATATTGCACAAAGTCACAAGCTTTATTGGCAAAGATGAATAGTGTCTAGCAATGGAATCCAGGATGCACGTTTCGTCCTATTTAGGACTGTCAGCTGGATGTAGTTACATCTTCGAGTTGAAGTTCACTCTAGGACTCTACCCCAGTATCGTTCGCTTCAAACGCCACCGCATTATCCACTTAGCTACTAAGTCCTGATAGCCACTTGCATGTGTAATGGGTTGAAATTTAAATTCATTTATTATTGTTCCCTTAAATCTTCTCATTGATGTTTAGGACTGCAATTGATCAATCCCTTATTGGCATATATGTATCCTGTGCATGTTGCCTCGATACTGCTAGCCACTTTCTATCCTCACTTATATTATTTTTATTGTTATTGCATGAATCTTGTAAATGTTTGATGGCAAATTTCTATGGTAAACATCTGATAAAGAGTTCATTTTTTTTCTTTAACATAAAGCTATAACTTCCTTGAGTGTGTTCAATGTTTTTTTTGACAATGATATCTGTGCACTTAAATAAAACAATTATGAAGATCTAAATTGATGGAAATGATTTGTAATTCAATTCAATGATTTTTTTGTAAAAATGGAATTTGGTTTTTCAAGCTGATCATTACAATCATGAAGTGTTCGATATCTTTTCGGACAACACCATCATCATCAGCAGCAGAAAACGTCAAGTAGAAATGAGCTATTCTACACAATGTTTGTGTTAATTATGTTGTTTGGAAGGATAATAACCAATGCTTCACAATTAAACTGTTCAGTTTGACAAACGAAATTTCACCCTAAAAAAGGAAAATATCACCTAACTCAAAAAGATCTATGATTGATTTGTGTTTATTTACTCACAAAGTTATTGTGTATCGCAAAGCTTACACGGATCTTACAAATATATATGATGAACCTAGTTTTAGCTGAATATTAATATTCTGAAGATCGGATGAGCGAACTGTAGAATTTTCATTGTTTTTCTAGACAACATTGTCAGGATATTCGTCCAAAAGATTTAAGGTATTAGAATTTCTCTAAACTTAATTAACATATTGATTGATTGATAGATTCATTGACTGGACAATATCAACAACAATCTAGTGTGGCAGTAAACAAATCAATTTCCAGTTGAAGGTGAAAAGGAATTGAAAGTGAAATAGGTCACACATTATTAAAATTATCGAACTACATCAAAAAGTACGCTCTCATCTGGAATCGTCATGGTGAAACGAAAGAGGAAAACCAAAGAACATATTGCGAAGCAAATTCGAGGTAGACATCAAAAGAATGAATAGAACTTGGGACACAACTGAAAAGGAGAGACCAGGATAGATTCGGTTGCAGAAATCTGGTGGATGGCCTATTCTGCACGAGGAGTAACAGACGTAAGTAAGTAGTTGACATATAATTCAATTAATTAATATTCACAATTTACCTAAAATGGTTTATTTGTTTACCTGGCATGATTTCTGATTATGTACTTATATATCTCCAAACTATCGTTACGTTTCTATGCAGTGAACTTTGAGGATTGTCTACATATGTGGTTTCAACACATTCATATCTGATTATTATTATCAGCTTTTAGGTTATAGTTTTCTGATTTTGGTCCCAGCTGAGATCCCTCTGGAAAACAGGATGCATTAAACAAGTAATTTATATCAAAATCGAAATTATAAGCAGTGAATATAGCTGACCACACCAGGGATAGAACACAGGATCTTCAGTTCTCACGGAAAACTCTTAATCATTAGTACCACTGAATTGGCGTCAACTGAAATAATTTCAACTTTATTCAATACCAATGACAAAGGCGCTATCCAGTGTTCCTTGGTTTCAATGTTACCATAATTGAGACGAAATTGGGATGAACTAACCCTAGAAATTATACAAATCTCAATGAAAATCCAGCAAATGAACTACATTATTATCAACTTTCATTGCTAATTAGAGTACACTAAAAAACCAGAACAGTTAGTA